TTTGAGACTGAGTCTTACTCTCGCCCAGGCTGGAGTGCAGTGGCACGATCTCGGTTCACTGCAACTTCCATCTCCCGGGTTTGCACGAGCGATTTTCCTGCCTCAGCCTCCCGAGTAGCTGGGACTACAGGCATGCACCACCACGCCCAGCTAATTTTTGCATTTTTAATAGAAACGGGGTTTCACCATGTTGGCCAGGCTGGTCTCAAACCCCTGACCTCAAGTGATTCACCTGCCTCGGCCTCCCAAAGTGCTGGGATTACAGGCGTGAGTCACCGTACCCAGCCGATTCCCTTCTTAAAACCGTCTTCTCCTCATAAAGGTTCTCCTCTGTTGCTGGGGAACCACTGTCAGTCCTCTCCGCGCCAGCTGCTAATTACATGAGTGTAGACTCGGGGGATCTGAAAAGAAGGCTTTCCAGTTGACTCTTTTACTTTGACATACCCAAGACAGGCAAAATCAATTGTATATGGTAAGATTTACTTATCATTCACATTTCTGGCAATAAGCTGAGAATTGGGAGGCAAATGAAAAACAACTTCTCCACAGCCAAAATAGATGTCAAAGTCCATCCACTAAAGCAGGCGGCATTATTTCAGGTTTACCTTTGAAAGACCATAGACTTTGGAGTCAGAAAGTCCTGGAACCGAATGCCAATTTCACCACTACTACCTGTGTAAACTTGGGGAGATTTATTCAAGCGCTTGAAGCCTCCATTCTCTTGGCTGTACAGTAGGGATAACAGTACCTAGGTCGTAAAAGTGTTACAGGGAATAGCGAGGTCCTGCATGTAAGGTGCCTAATCCTTTGCGGTCCTGCATGTAAGGTGCCTAATGCTTTCTGTGGTACATAATCGTTAAACAATAGAGAGGCCGTTAGTATTCTACTACACCAGGCTCTGTAGGTCCTTTCAATGTTCATGTCCCCAGGGTGTCACTTGGCTTCCCTTACAACTCTCCAATTTCATTCGGGACTGTGGCTAGTTTTTACTTCGGTACTTCTACAACCACTCGTTGACTAATCTGGAATTTTTATACTTAGCCCTTTTCTCTTTCTGCAGCCCCAGGCAGGCTTCTGAAAAAAAGGACAGGAGTCCTCTGGGAATCGCCGTGGAAGCAGCACCAAGGCAGAGAGAGAGGCTTTGGGGGCAAGGCCATGTGTGTCCACTAGAGAGACTAGTGCCAGCCCAGGCCAGCTAGGAAGAACAGGGAAGGAAGCTGATCCTAGCCCAGATGCCATACCCCTGTCGACTGCATAAAACTCCCGGACAGGAAGGTAAGTAGCGTGCCACCTGACTCCGCTGCTCAGGGCCAGCGACTGTCTTGCGCGTCTGTACATTTCCGGTGGCTGGCCCAGGGCTGGGCACATGGTAGGCACACAGGTTTGCTGAAGAGCACTAAAGTCATTGTCAAAATGCAGCAGGGCTTTAGAACACATATAGTATCGCAATCACCGACTCTTGTGTCATAATCCAATTTTGTGTAATTTTGGAGAAGTTACTAAATTTTTCCAAGCCTGTTTTCTCATATCCAAAACAGGGATAATGTTAGCATCTGGCCCATAATGTTGCTGTGCGATAATGTTGGACATAACACACATAAAGAATTTAACGTGGCCGGGTGTGGTGGCTCACGTCTGTAATCCCAGCACTTTGGGAGGCCGAGGTGGACGAATCACCTGAGGCCGGGAGTTCGAGACCAGCCTGACCAACATGGAGAAACTCTGTCTCTACTAAAAATACAAAATTAGCTGGGTGTGGTGGCACATGCCTGTAATCCCAGCTACTCAGGAGGCTGAGGAGGTTGCAGTGAGCTGAGATCGTGCCATTGCACTACAGCCTGGGCAACAAGAATGAAACTCTGTCTCAAATAATAATAATAATAATAATAATAATTTAGCACATAGTTGCTCAATCATATGTTCAGTCAGTTAGTTATTGCTATTATTATCAGTGGGTGAGATTTCCCAAGGCTGGAGTAATGGGAACCCTCTAGAGGGAAACAAAGGAAGCCAGGGCATAGCTGGTAGAAAACAGCAAAAAAGGAATGCAATTTTTTGTTGTTGTTTTGAGACAAGATCTTGCTCTGTTCCTCTGGCATGAGTGTAGTGGTGTAATCATAACTCACTGCAGCTTTGAACTCCCAGGCTCGAACAATCCTCCCACCTCAGCCTCCCGAGTAGCTGGAACTACCAGCACCCACCAGACACCCAGCTAATTTTTAAAATTTTTTGTAGAGATGGAGTTCCGCTATGTTAGCCAGGCTGGTCTCAAACTCCTAGCCTTAAGTGATCCTCCTGCCTCAGCTTCCCTAAGTGTTGGGATTACAGGCGTGGGCCATATACTGGCCAAAATTGCCATTTTTAAGAGAGATTCAGAACAAGGAAGAACGGGTTCACTTTTAAGGGAAGATGGTAGAATGTCAACCAAGAGCGAAGCCAGAATTACTCAACTCTCAATAAAAATCTGTCCTATGTAAGAATGATCTTCAAATTACAACAAATGAAAATAAGCATTGTTTGAAAAGGAAATAGAAGCTCAATAACACAGAAGGAGGAGAGCCCGTGAGCATCTCGCTACATTGATTTTTGTCTCCAAGCTCATCAATGACATCAGAGGAGACAGTCAAATAATTTGCAGATGTGATCAGCATGTGTAATCTGCAGGACTCAGAGTAAAAGCTTTCCCAGTCTTCAAAGGGGTGTGTGTACTGGAAGGAGAGTAAGGAGCGGATTCTGGGAATTGCAAACCACTGGGCCAAACGTCAATCCCCAATGAAACAGATGCTCTGTGACCACTTAGAAAAGAAACACTTGATGACTAGGAGCCAGTTTGGGTTCACTGGAAACAAGGCAGGTCGAACACATTTGTCTTCCTTTTTAAAGGGGTTTTATCAACTGGTGGAACAGTAGATTTAATTTGCTAAGGTGCTGCATCTTACGTATTCAGCATTTATGAAACACTTCCTGGGCCAAGGATAGAAAGATGACCAAGGTATGGTCTCAGAAGGAGCGCACATCCTGGTCAACTGGTGGTCACCTGTGGCTGGATAGTCATGACTTTAAGTGGCATCATAACGGATGTAATAACTCTTCTCAAAGCCTAGATTAACAGATTAATGTCAATTTGGAGGGAAATCTTGGTTCTTCTTTGGTTTGTGTGCTGTTCTATGTTTTGATCAAAGGCCAGGATGCAGACCTAGAAGACATGCTTATCAAAGGAGCTCATGGCAGAAGTAAGAGGAGGGCTACCTGATGAATGGTGACTTTCTGATTCAAAATGATCTTGAGATGTCGAACTGAACAACGCAACCAATAATAGAATCGAATCCAGCTCAACGCTGCACTATGACATTAAGAATCGTGTCCCAATCAAGGAAAAGAAAGTCTTGTAGCTCATTCTTGGGAGCAATAAAAATATGAAGGACACAGAAGGTTTGGGGTTGGTGCAGAGGTCCAGACTCTGTGAAAAGACCGTGAATGGCTCTAAGGAGGGATGGGAGTAATCTCCCCTCGTTACGAGGACTGACATGGGAAAGAGGGAGTGAATTATCCTAAATTGCTCTTGAGGAAAGTACTAGAGCAAGTAAGGAGCTTAAGGGAGAAGAAGAGATGTTGTAACATTAAGACCTGGCTACAGGCCAGGTGTGGTGGCTCACGCCTGTAATTCCAACATTTTGGAAGCCTGAGCCAGGAGGATCACTTAAGGTCAGGAGTTCAAGACCAGCCTGCGCAACATGGCGAAACCCTGTCTCAACCAAAAATAGAAAAAAAATTGGCCGGGCATGGTGGCGCACATCTGCAGTCCCAGCGACCCGAGAGGCTGAGGTGGGAGGATCGCTTGAGCCTGGGAGGCAGAGGTTGCAGTGAGCTGAGATCGCGCCACTGCACTCCAGCTTGGGTGATAGAGTAAGATTCCATCTCAAGAAAAAATAAAAAAAGAGCTGGCTAGAGAACAGAATGAATTATTCTGAAAAGTAGTGAGCCTCTCATCACCTTAGGTATTCAAACAGGGATAATCAACCATGCAGTGGGAAACCTGACCGGACAGGCTTGGGGGCCCTCCCCACACTCGGTGTCCACCCTGCTTGCCACCAATTAGTAATGAGTAGGGAAGGCTCCCTGAAGGAGGTCACATCCGAGCTAGACTGTGAAGATGGAGACAGCTCTGACCCGATCCCGTAGGGTGCCCGAAGCCAGCCCCATGTGGCAGTAAGTATGAGAACTGGGCACTTCTCCACAAGGTAAGACAGAAGGTGGAGCTGAGCTTTCTCTATGGATCAGAACTGATACAGCAGGTGACAGGTAGAGGAAGGAGAAATAGAGTGCCAGTGGAGAGCCAGAAACAAAAAATCAGGCCCACAGAGCAAAGACCGGAGGGTCCTGGCCTGAGCAAGAGGAAGGGTGGATGGGAAGGAGAGACCCACCAGGCAGCATCCTGCTGGAGATACTTCTATCATTCCTTAATCGTTCCCAGGACCAGAGCCTGTCAGAATTGGGAAGAGCCCTTCAGGAGCCCCTGGCCCAAGCCCTGATGAGATGGATGAGAGTTGAAGGTCAGGCTGAGCAGCTCATCCAAGGGAACCCAGACCTGAGAAGGGCTCCAATCCCACCTCAGTCCTTGTTAGCTGTGTGACCTTGGGCAAGTTACTTAACCACCCTGTGCCTCAGTTTCCTCATCTGTAAAATAAAGGTGGAGGTAGCCATAAAAGAGGTGACGTAGGAAAAGCACCCAAGAAGAACTAGATAATCAAAATAGACCTACATAGTAAGTGCTATCTGCAAATTAACACTAATTTACAATTATTGGGAGATACCGGGGAAGGCGGTGAATGCCAGGAGCCCCTTCCCACAGCAGTGCCCCATCAGCGCTGTGGACTCAATGCATTTACGGTAACCAGGTAGGTCGCTGGTACCCATATTGATCCCCACCGTGGGGGAAGTCCCTGAGGTATGGTGACCCGCAGGGGAGGGGAAGGCTCAGAGGCCGAGCCCACACGTACCTTCTCCCCGGGTGTGACGGAGATGCGCCACACGCAGTGCATGTGAGCAGAGTAGCCGTTGGGGTATTCAGGGGAGGAGAAGTTGCCTGTGCTGTCTTGCAGGGTCTCTCCACAGGCTGTGAGGAAAGGAAATGACAGGGCAGGGCTGCAGGCGCCAAATCCCCCCACCTTCTGGCTCACCCAACCCCTGAGCCCTGGCATCCTCTGAGGGAGGGGAGAATGCCCGAGGAGTGGGAGGGTGTCTGCAGCAGTCCTGTCCCTGTAAGATCCACCCCCTCTGCCTCACATACAGCACACGCCATCCTACCTCCCAGCCCAGCGCTGCCCTGTTTGTGAAGGCAATATGGGTTCCAGAGTTAAGGTCAAGCTCCCTTGGTGGGGCTCCGTGCCACCACCTCCCTCTCCTAGGATTGCCCTGTTGTTCCCCACTTCTGCCCCTACAGACCCTCAGAAGGTGGCGGCTCAGCTTCTGACCACCACCTGAGCCTACACCCAGTGGCCTCCTTCACTTGGACACTGCCCCTCCTATGGGGTCCCCTCCCCCGCCACATCATTCTCTAAAACTTAGGCAGCCTAAGCCTTCTTGGTAGCACCAGGCACCTGGCCTCTGCCTCCCTCAGGCCCTGCCCTCCACGCCTTCACCCATCCCTTCTCTGCCCTGACCTGGGCACTTGTAAAGCTTGCGGGCTTGGGCAATGTCCCCCTTGCTGAGCCGTGTCCTTTGGCCAATGGGAGGTTTCACCCCGTTCACCTCATACTTGGGGACAATGGTATCCAGGAAGATGCCCCTGAAGAAGAGGGAGAGAAGGAAGGGTGAGCGTCTTGTGGACAGTGGGCAGGGAGTGGGTGGCATGCCCATCTGTACCCACAAGTCGCGACCCTGCTGGAGCTCAGACATTCCTCAGCAGGGTCAGGGCCGGGTGGAGACGTCTCACCCTGTCATTACACTGCCCACTGACCAGCAGCCACCCTGCTCCGTGGCAGCCACACCACAGGAGTCGGGGGAGCCCCAGGAACACTTTGGGAGGTCAGGGATGCAGGTCCAGGGTGCCCTGAGACCCACTGGTGCCCCCAGTTCAGGCTGGCCACGACTCCCAGCCCCAGGAAAGCTACAGGCCCCTAGAGGGTCATCTTTCCAACCCCACTGGGCCCCTGCTTCTGCAGCCCCTCATGCCGCTCCAGCCCTAACTAAACTTCTCCCAGGACTCCCTAGGCCAGCTACTCACCCTGCTGGCACAGGCTGCATCTGAATGCACCTGGAACAAGGCCAAAGGCAGATTCCACTGCAGCCAGACCAAGCCCCGGGGACAGCCCCACCAGCTCCCCATCTATCAGTGTCTCCTGTACCCCCCATTCCTCCCTTCTGAATCCTGGGTGTTTGCACTGGGAGGAGCAGAGTGAAGGGAAGGCAGGCAGCCCTCCACCTCCCCAGGGCCCCTGACTCACACCCAGCTGGGTGGATCACAGCAGGGGGTGCGGTGGGATGCGGTGGGAAATGTAAGGCCGGGTCTGTGGGTGTGGGGGGGCAGAATGACCTCACCACCCCTCCTTGGTCTCTGTTCCTGCAGGTCTGCAGGCAGGAAAAGTGGATCGGGTAGAAGCACTGAGAAGAGGGGGCAGGGCCACTGTCTGGGACACAGACAGAGGATGAGCAAAGCACCAGGCCTGGGAATGGCCAGGCCAGGAAGGAGTGTGAGGAGGAGGGAGGCGCCGTTTCCCACACTCTGCTAAGGAGAAGCCTGGGGGAGGGGAGGCTGGGCCACCACCTTCGAGGGTTCTAGTTGTGGCTTCTGGGGACCTGGGCATCGGATAAGGAGGATGTGCTTTGGAGTTGGGCATGGGGGTTAGTCCAGGGCAGGGGCCTGGCTTCATGCAAACTGACCAATTACAAAAAAAAAAAAAAAAAGCAGACTAATTAAAAAGGAATGGCTGGGCATGGTGGTTCATGCCTGTAATCTCAGCATTTTGGGAAGCCGAGGTGGGAGGATTGCTTGAGCCCAGGAGTTCGAGACCAGCCTGGGCAATATAGTGAGACCCCATCTCTCAAAAAAAGTCATGGTGGCGTGCACCTGTCATCCTAGCTACTTAGGAGGCTGAGATGGGACAATTGCTTGAGCCTAGGAGTTTGAGGTGCAGTGAGCCATGACTGTGCTACTGCACTCCAGCCTAGGTGACAGAGCAAGACCCTGTCTCAGACAAAAACAAAAACAAACAAATGGCCCACAAATAAAAGCTCAGCACCCTTTGGGCTGATAGTTTGGGGCTACCCCACACTGCTTGGCTTGCACAGTGGTTGGGTTCAGCCTCCTCCGCCAGGTGCCCTGGGTGCACACAGTGGTAAGGCCCTGCCACAGCCCCACCCATGGAAGAGGACAGGAGGGCAGGCAGCATCCGTGGACCCTCTGCTTGGAGGCCACAGTCCCCCGGAGGGCCACTCTTTTCCTGGGTCACTGCCCCAGAAGTGGGAGGCAGAAGGAGAATGGCCTACAGAGGGCAGGGTGGGGCTGCCCCAGCAGAGGCCCAGCCCTGACCCCATCTCCTACCTGGAGAACGTGTTCCGAGCATAATGCATGATGCTGTCAAAGTCATAGGTCTCCCCCAGGGACTCCACCTCCTGAGGCTCCATCTTCAGGAAGTTATACTCCTGCCCTGAGAAGATCAGGAAAAGGGTGTGTGGGGAGGGAGGGAGTGGGTCTGCCTGGGACGCAACACTCCCTTTCCAGGGCAGGAATGGGGTCCTTCCTGTATCTGAGAGGGCCCCCCTACCTGAGGATCCGGGGAGCAGCCAAGGGGAGCCTGGGGAGTGGGGAGGGTCTCAGGAAGAGTCCTATCCAGCAGAGGGCCTAGTGAATGGAGGACTCAAGGGAACATGGAAAGAAAGCACCCATTTATAGAGCCGCAGCTGAGAAGGAAGCAGTGAAGAGTGGAGAATGCCTGGGAGAGAGGGAGGAGGTGGGAAGGGAGGGACAGAGATATCGAGAAAATGAGAGAAAAGCCCTCAGAGGTCAGACCAGGCAGAGGACAGAAAGTGGGCAAAGGTGGGGAGAAAGGCCTGAGCAGTCCCGAGGACGGGCCCACTACGCCCATGCCCCACCCTAGAGGCTGCCCGGGCTACCGCTGTCCAGGACCAGGACCCGGCCCAGCCCCCCAGAGGAGCTCCACAACGGATGCAGGTCCTTGATCTGCCACGGAGGAGGAAATGCCTCAAAGGTAAGGGCCGGCTCAACCCAGGCTGAGGGTAGCGCTGAGGGCCCAGGCGATGACGGCTGGCAGGAGCGGCTCCTACTGCCCCCAGGGTCCCTGGAGGTGGGGGTTGGGGCAGGAGCCGCCCACCAAGGCCGCACCGAGGGGCAGGTACCTACCTGGCTGGATGTTCTCACGAACGATGGAAACGTGGCGGTCCCGGTCTGGCCGAGTGTGTTCGTGCCAGAAGCCGACGACGTGGCCCAGCTCGTGGACCACGATGCCGAACTTGTCACAGTTCTTGCCGATGGAGATGGCCTGGGGGCCCCCGCCGCGGCGACCCACGTAGGAGCAGCACCTGGAGGGCGGGGCCAGCTCAGGGGGG